GTTAATCCTTGAAAACAAGGCACTCGACATTTTTGTTGTTGTGACCTCCTTGGTTTTCTTTCCTTGTAAAACTTGAGTTCTACATACTGCTGCAATATCCATATATATATATATATATATATATATATATATATACACACACACACACACACACACACACACACACACACACACACACACACACACACACACACACACACACACACACACACACACACACACACACACATATACTTCTTCCTTATTTTTTATTTTTTCAAATCTCTGGAAATCTAGGGTTTCTGAGTTTATTATGGCCTCTGGCTGACTGTTGACACATGGCTGTCTTGATACGTGATCTGTTTCGAATCCCTGAAGGAGCGTGTGGGAATATACTTCTGTTTTATTATTATGTTTGTAGGATCTGTTTCTATCCTGTCAACAAATTTGAAAATATCTTTGGTTAATTTGAAGAGTCCCATGTTTTTCAAAAAGTTGTGCACTAGATACTCGTGTTTCGAGTTCCAAGGATGTTTCAATATTTCATCTGCCCCACTTCTCTCTCAATCTCTCTCTATGTTTTTCGAAAGCTACTCGTCTATTCTCTTTTTTGTGCTCCACAGTTTACTATAGAAAGAGACAAATCGGTCGAGGGGTCTAGTATGAGGAAACACAAACCACTCTCCATCGCCGTCTGACAAGAAGTCTGGAAAAACGTCAAAGTCTATGACAACAAGAGTGGTCTCTATAGTTCTCATCTCTCTCGTGGCCACAAATCCGGAGCCCACGGTCACACATGTGCAGTCAACAACCCTAAGCTCCAAATAAGGTGTTTTCTCTAATCCGGTGGACAATATTCTGGTTGAAATTGATCATTCCATGTCTAAGGGAGAAGACGTTGGTGGTGAAGACCATGTCGCAATTGAAGAAGCTACTTTCAGCGCCCCTGTGCAGCTTCGTTGACCTCAAAGGAAGTTCGAGAGCATTTATGTTCTTAAGGATGAGTTCTACTCCTCGAGTGGTCACCAATCTCTTTCTGAGCACACTTATGCTGCCTTTAATGCCGTTCATCCAACTAGGTCTGAGTCATCAGAATCTTCACCAGAATCCTAACTTTCTGTTGGTTCTCCGTTGTTGGGTCTCGAGGTTATTTGCGAAGTGAAATTTTCCATGTGGCTTCTGAATTGGATATAGATTTTTACATGCGTAAGAATCAAATCACCGTTAAGCTCTCTGTGTCAAAGGACACCATAGCTTTTGTGATCACTATAGGATGAGTTTCTCTGAAGCATTCCTCATGATATTTTTATCGACATTGGGGATTACATTTTTGCCCAAATTGGAGCTCTTGCTAACTCTCGCTTAAAAAGTTGGAGTGTCTGTCTTTTCCCTCGTTGATCTATCACTCGCTGTCACAACATTTTTTAGAGGCAACTTCAGCTTCTATGCCTCAACGACTAATCACTATTCATCCTAAGGTATTGTTTGATCATTTTTTATGATCCTCAAGAAGATGATTTGTCTGTGATCCAGGTTACTCCCAAGGGAAAAAGAGTTCACGTAATGATTATGCTTCTATGACCTCTACTGTTGTTCATGAAATTGGTGCCTCAATGAGGATTTCACAACATTTCAAGTGAGCATTACAGCTGTTCTCACAGCATGAATGAACAAGTTGCAACTTTGGCACAGTCTGGTCAGAAAGGGAGAGTAGCAACAACTGCAGATGCCCCAGCAAAAACTGCCATGCATAAGGGACAAACTTATATGAGGAAGCAGCAGTCCACAACCGCAAGGCAAAGTCTCCAACAGTTCTCACGATGAGGATCTGCTATCCGACTATGATCATTGAGGGAAGATTTCTTGAAAAACCTTTCGTTATTTTTTGTTTGTCATTTTGGACTGCTTTAATTTACTTCCTTATTTAGGACTGTTATAATTAGTATTATTCTCCTGCCTTTTGGTTATGGGCTTTGTTATCTTTATTTTGTGCCTTGTGCTTATTTTTGGATAACTTTGTGCTGCAGGAAATTTCTGTGTTACAACATTTATGTGTTGCAACTTCTATTGTGTTAACAGTCTATGGTGTAGGGGGAGTTAATCATTTCTGTAGGGGGAGTTAGTCTTGTCTGGAGGGGGAGTTCTTGTTAAACATGGATTCCGACCAATCTATGCCAAAGGGGGAGATTGTTGAAGAACGAGGAAATCCGCCGAGTTTTTGGAATTATAAGATTGACAAAGATTTATTTCCATGGTTATTTTGGAAATTATTTAGAGTCCTATGTTTGCAATATTTTTATTAGGACTTTGATTTATTTCCATGTATCTTATTCTAGTTAGGTCTCTTTGTACTTATCTATACTAGAGTTAGAAATCGGCTAGGATTCTACTTACCTAGTTATACGATTTCTTGGAGATCAAGCAAGGGTTTGGGAAGCTAAATTCGTGCCTATATAAAGCTTCGCAAGTCATTGAAGATCTCAGCACTTTTATTAGAGAAAACCCTCTCATTGTATTGAACCTGTGCTAGAGCAGTCTGCGGAGCAGGATTGTGCCATCGTTGTGTGTGCCAACATATACAGAGTTGTTGTATAGATCTCGGGAGAGGTCATCCGCGTTTCCGAAGGGAGTTCAGGCTTGAAGAAGGTTCAACGCACGCGGAGTGGAGCTGCTGTAGAGAGAGACACGAAGTTCGAGTTGTGTACAAGAACGGCGTAAAAATTAAAGAGGGAGTCTTTATTATTTTTAATAATTCCTATTAATGTACTCCCTCCATTCTGTTTTAATTGTCTTTCTAGAGATTTTTTTTTCATTTCAAAATAATTGTCACTTTAGAATCCAATGAAGTATTTATTGTGTTTTCTCAACTATGACCTTACTACTATTAAGAGAATTAATGGTTAAACATTTAATAAAAGTGGTTTTTTAGTCATTTTATTATGATTTTTCTAGAATCCATGCACAATTATTAGTTTTCTTAATATGTGTGAATTAGCCCAAAAAGATAATTAAAATGGAATGGAGGGAGTAGGGCACATTTGTGCGAACCACATTAATTTCTGAAAATCTGAACTAGTGAAATCGTGTTTGCAGGTCCACGTCGATGTAGGGCACATTTGTGTGTGAACCACATTAATTTCTTGTGTTCATATATTTGCTTTCAGTAGTTTATAACTGTGTTAATACGAGAATTATAGTTGTAACTAAATACTGTTCCCACAACTTAACTGTTACAACTTAGGTTAATTGATTTCTATATGCATATAAATCTACACCTTCCACGCTTTTTTCGTCTGTATTTTTATTCCGCATTTCCGTCGGCATTTTTCCACAAATCAGTCTCTGCGCTGCTAATTAGGTTAAATTTCTTTCCTCCGATTTCCTGTTTGATCAATGGTTTTTTATATTAATAATAATATTCTGTTTTCCATCTTAGCAATGGCGCGACAGAGAGACCGGAGAAACCGAGTAGCAGTGGCCGAAATCCCTAGAAGCTCTTGAAAAGCGTGTTTCGCTTGAGACGACAGTGATGGATGCCATGGGAGAACGTGGAGATTTGGCTGTAAAGCTCAGTTTGGCGGAGTGGAAAGTCAATCTAGCTGAACAAACACTTGAAGCGAATTTTGGTTTTATTATTATTATTATTATTATTATTATTATTATTATTATTATTATTATTATTATTATTATTATTATTATTATTATTATTATTATTATTATTATTATTATTATTCTTCATCATCATCATCATCATCATCATCATCATCATCATCATCATCATCATCATCATCATCATCATCATCATCATTATAATTATTATTATTATTATTATTATTATTATTATTATTATTATTATTATTATTATTATTATTATTATTATTATTATTATTATTATTATTATTATTATTCTTATTATTATTATTATTATTATTATTATTATGTATGCCTTAGGATAAGATATGTGGTAGAAGCGCACTTCGTTTTGATCAAATTTTGATGGTTGATTATGCGATATCATTCGTTTTGTTATCTATTTACGGAGTATGCTTTTCTGAAGATGATTTAGATTTTAGATGGTTGTAGCTCTGTTTTTATGACTTTATGTTTCTTTTATTTAATTGTTGCGGTGGTTCTCCTATCTCTATATTTGTTATATCCTTTCGTATCCAGTTTCTTCTCCTGACAATTGTGTTATATCTACTTTTTTTTTTTTTTTCCAATAATGTTCTTGTTTCTACAAAACTATATCTATATTTCTAACTACATAATACTTTTGAATGGAAAGATTTAGAGTTAGAGAGGACATGGGAAGGAATGTCAAACTTAACGATTTGAAAATGAATAATTGAACACGAGATCGAATAATGACTATAAGTCGTATATGTCTCACTCGGTGTAGTATTAATTTAGTAGATAATTTATACCCTTTAGTCTAGGAATTTAAGTAGGAAATCTATATTGATCTATTTTTCGAAATATTTGGGAACAGAGTAATGAATGCTCTTTGCATTAGTTGTTGATGAGGACTCGAGCGCCCAAGAAGCTTGAAGAGCCATCTCTCCATGTAGTTGTAGACATGCTGGCCAGCTGTATATTATCAAACATGATAATTATTAGTAAATAAACCTAAAGCGGATCACATATTCTGAATTTCATATAAAAGCGGAATTAAAATTGATATTAGAAAGAAAAAAGAATTTCACGGACAACTGATTGCAGCTTTAACTGATGATCCCTGAAAAACACAAAAAACATTTCTCGAACAGTTCAATTTCTCCGGCACTCCAGAGTCCAGAGTGAAGGGGTCCATCACTAAAGGGTGAAACTGAATTTGCCACTATTATATGATTATACAGGGCTTTCACGTTGGAATTAGTTAATTTTCCATTCAGTGAAGAAATATGTGAATCTGATCAAATCTTTTGAAAAGAAAGCTAATTTAACTACATAAAGCTTTTCGGTAGTCATGCCCAAGATTTTATATGAATATGTAATAGTTTAAATAGAATTATGAACTAAAAATGGTTTTTCAAGTGGACCACGTTCCTCCAAGAGGAAGCTATAATAGCTACCCGAGGTCATCTTATTCGAAGCCTAATTTACACCACGGAATAACACAAGACGGTATAATTAGAAGTACTTCGAGTGCAAGAATGAGTATCGAATGGCGGAAGATTTTTCGCGGAAAATCTTTGACGGATGACGTTTTGATGATAATATTTGTTGTTGAGGAAGAGGCAATGATTCAAGTTAGGAGAATGAATGAGATGGAAATTGTTAGGAGAAGAAGTGCTATGAGGAGGAGGAAAAAGCTTGGTCCAAGTCCTTTGAGTAGAATGGTGTTGGTTGAGGAGGGGGATATTAAGCATATATTATATGAGAGGTGATCATAAGTTTGATTTCCTTTTATTTGTTTTTTTTTTCTTCCCACTCTAATTTTGTATTCGAATTGGTTTTTTTTTTTTTTTTTTTTGTTTTTTTTTCTTGGTGTTTTTTGATGGATGAGTTATATTTTAGCCATTTTTCCTAATTTATGTTTATGTGGATTAATCAAGAAAAAAAATAAAAAGGTTGAGTGAATAGATAGTAATATTAAAAGACGGAAAAAATATACCTCAATACCAATTTTATATTTGGTCCTCCATGTTAAACAAAAAACACATTTAGTCCCTTATGTAGAAAAAATTCAACACTTTTAGTCATTCAAAACTTTCTTGTGCCCATGTGCGAACCCACTCGAGCCCTTGAGATATTTCTACATTCACTTCAACCCACCGCAGAGGCTAGGGTTTTAAGCTTGTGTTAAGTCACTTTTGTGCGTGTTTTACAAGATATATAAATCCTATTTATATGCTTCTTGTGAAAACTCTAACAGGCCTTAAGTTGGGCTAGGCCCAACAACTTAAGTCCACTCTCTTTCTCCATTCGTTTCTAACAAACGAATGCTCACAAAAATATAACAATTATATTTTGACAACGAGCACAAATTCTCGTTGATACGAGTACCACTTTGCAATTTACCAATTTCCGAAATTGAAAACCCTAATTTAGAACTTGCCAAATCGGGAAACTTCCCAATATAGAAAGGTCATTAAATTTCCGTCAGAATCTTTTCCTCTATTTATTCTCATCCGTAATTTAAAATTACGAATGTTGGACTCAATCATATTGACTTCCAATTACACTAAGTTTAACTAATTAATCTTAGCTCGTTGCATTAAGGATCTCAAGTACACGAGCAGTGTGACCCTCGATGGTTCAGGTGTAAGCTAGCCGTGGGTCCACAACCCATTGTGGTTTAAACTCGTCGCTAGAGTTATAATTAAGTTGAATCTAGTTTCAACTTAACTACCCAACGAATCAAGATTGGCGTCTAGCAACTACGCGTCATGATTCCCTAGATACAAATGAAGTGCCTGCAAGAACCGTGTGATATAGTTAACGTATAGTACGATCCCTTCGATATATATATCCTGATTGAACTAGAGGCACTGGTTCATCGAGACTCTTTATGAGTTCAATAACTGTGTGGATGTTCTTGATTACATAACATGTTCGTGTCTGACTTAGAGAAACATATTTCTCTAATCAATACACTTTCAGCTGTGGCCACAGACTTCATGGATTATAAATCGTAAGAACACACAGGATATCCATGACTGATCAAGCGATCGAATCCCCTACTACAATGCACAAACCTCCCACTAGATTTCGGACTGCACGAACACTGGCCCTTGGGGTGGTCCTTGGTGGAACTCAGGGACAAGTCACGATACAACTGGTCCTCTAGTGAAGTCACGGTGATGTCTGGATCTTAAGGATTAGTGGTGTATAACTATATCATAGAAACCTCTACTCGATTATTGGGAACCACTTAGAGATCTCTAGATTGAGGGAGTTCAGTGAACTCATCAACTTATGAGCACCCACTTATGTATGCCGATGTCACAACACCGTTGACTGATGAGACGCAGTACAAATACACTAAGTGCTAGTCTCGAATGGGAAAGGCCGATATCCTCATTAGTGGCGTAACCCGTTGACAAGGAACTATGTTGAACATTTACTATACTTAAATAAATAATCTCAGGTCTACTAGATTTATTTATAATTAACTGTAAGGACTAGATCTATGCTTATGCAAGGGACAAATATATAGAATGCCAAAGGGGGTTTTATCATTAATACGAAATATATTATTTATGAGTAGCGTGACAAAACACAACAATTAGTTGGCTCTTCGGTCACCTACCCTAACGACGAACACCTTTTCTCTTTTCTCTTCGGCTGAGTCTTCTTATCCTTCATCAATGGTGGAATCAATATCTAGTATTGCCGGATCAATAACCTCATCAGGTTCAGTTATATTGAACACGATCTCCTTTTTTTCCCATTATTTTCTTCCCTAGATTTGAACTTCTTTTCCTAATACTTTGATAGAAGAGCCTTCATTTTCATCATCTTTTCTGAGGTTTCCGAACCCAAAGTTGCAGTCAATGGTCTCTTCCTCACAACTATCATCGAGATATAAAGGATTTTGAGGGTCTATTATTCTGGAAAATAACAATTAACAAGATTTTCAGATAAGAGAGAAAAGGAACCAAATCCCTACGACTAAGTCCCTGAAGAATTGAGTGAAGAGCATCTACATATTTTTTAGACATCTTCTCCAGGCAAAGTCCTAAAGCAGCAGTTACATTTGAATCCTATGTTACGGTATTAACGGTAAGCTACATACTTTTTTTTCTGTTCAACATTGGCTCCTAAAAATATCGTTACTATCGCTGATAATTGAATTAAGAAAGAATAAAGAAAGGGATACAAGTTTGCTGCTCAGTTGGAGAAAAAATGAAAGGATCTACCACAAAATTGCATTCGAACAAATCATGGAATAAGAGAGCTAGTGGGCCAGTGCATAATCCTAATGATCAGCTTAATGGTGGTAATTATTATTACATAAACTCCACCTATTACTTAACCATCTCATCATCATATTTGTTTACTAAAAGTTTCTTTATAAAGAGCAGTAATGAAATGGATACTCACTGAATCTTAGATAGTAAGTTTAGAGCATTCAAGAAAGATGAGGAAGGCCCTGGAAGTTAATTGGAACTTCCAAAGTGCGCTAAAATCTTTATATACCTGATTGAAGTTTGACGCTTATAAATCCGGCCGAAAAGCATCCATAAAATCCAGTAACCCTCAACATTATTAACAGTTTAAACAGCTAGCTGATGCAATAGTTCTTCAGTTATCTTTCTACATAATGGGAATCATTCACTGCCATCATGATATTCAACCAGAAACGGGAACCTGGTTTTGACACGAATATTTTCCTAACGTCTAGATCAGAGGTTGATGATAACATGCCCAAGGATCTGCCAAATTGTAAAAACTAGAGTATAATGCTACTTTGTACGTGTTAAAATACGTAGATTTATGTTATTTATTCAACAAGTTCAATTACAGAACCTAATAGTTAGAAGCTGCCTCATTGTCATGGAACATATGCATTATGCAAGAAATTACACACATCACTGTGACATACAAATAAATTACATAAAAGTAAGCATAATTAAAGTTCGGATAGTTAAAGTTCAGGATGAGGATACAATGCAGAAAAAGAAGGTGAACATCCCCTTCTTGCTTTGTCTGGGATAGAAGAAATAGCCTGCTTGAGTAATCTATTACAATATTGAGTAAGATAGAAGAGATCAAACTACCGAGTGATGTTGTGTCACTGAGACATCCATCCGTTAGGGGCATTTATTAGCTCATACAAAGATTAAGCTCACACACAACCAGAAAAGGCATAAAAAACCGATGCTTTTAGTGACCATCAATGTTATGCAACTGTAGGAAGCAAAATAAATTTTCCAGCAAACGTGTAAGCAATTTCACAAATTAAATCCCCCAGGCGTATATGTGAAAAATGTTCATTTTACAAATCAAGCTTTAAAGGTGACCATAAATATTCTAAGCCTCAAAACAATTACATGTTGCAAAAAGGAACGGTTGTATAACACATAAATTAACGCCAAGTCCGACAAGATAGAAACGCATGGTATTCTAAACTAATCTTAGAGTTTCAACCCAAGTCATAAATCAAAATTGCAGTAAGGGATGGATGGAAAGAGAACAAAAAGGAATAGGATTCATCATCATGACACTGAACCCAATTTTTCTAAGAGAGCTATCTTAGAGATGTTATGCAAATAATGTACAATAAATACATAATGGATGACATGAGAATGATAACTAATTAATAGCTATAACGTGATAAATATTTATTCCAACGTTTGTTTTTATCTTCATTAACCTTTGTCAAATTGTCCCAGATTAAACCATATATCACATCCTCCTTCAAAATAGTCTTCTATTCTCCAAAAGCATTTTAAATGTTACACCCCCAAGATAAAACCCCTCAAAACATACTTGAAAAAACTACTTGGGATAAAGTGTCAAATATATATCATATTATCTAAAGACACCATTCCCCATACCATTTCCTCCAGAACACTCGAAATGAAACCGAATATTTATTAAACAAATACCTCTCAGCATTCAAGCACGCAGCATTTGAGTCGTGACCGCCACTTCCACTAAATTGTAGACAAGGAACCACCGCTTGAACAATCTCAGAAGCACAATACATGTTTCCTTGAAGAATCTGTACGGCAGGCTAGCCAATTGCACGGAAATATCTTTTAGAGAAAAAAGAAAAGAAGAAAAGGAGAGCCATATCATATCATAATCCTCCAGCACTAAATGAACAGACTCTACAACCAAAATAACAGTTTCAATTAACAGAATGTTCTTTTAGAAGAATTCCTTATTAATACGAGATTCATAAGAAGTGAAGAAAGAGATAACATCTCTGTATATTTGAGATCATCTGAGAATCATCTTATAAATTTCAATGATAATGGACAAGGAAGAGCAATCTGTCTTTCACTACCAAATTGTACAAGCAACATAGGATTTTATCTCGATAACCATCCAAGAATCAATATTGTTTTTTTTTCAAAAATATGCAACATATTTCTAAGTTCCAGAAAACAGACACCGTTAAATCAATTAACCATCGACGTAAGCAGTGATCTTATAGATTTTCTACAACGCATACATGATAAAAGTACAATAGAGGAATGACCCAAGCCTAAAAAGAGTTATCACTTTGTATTAAACAGTGATTAATTCAAATAAACTACCGATTAGAAGCATAATTCAAATAACAATGCCAATCCCAGTGAAGTGTATACCTAATAGAATAGTATTTTAGGCAAGAGAAAAATTTACCATATAATAGAATTCTTGCAAAATAATTTTATTTTTTTATTTTTTCACGCGTCACTCAACTTCTATTCAACAATCTGATCCTATGAGG